GCCGGGGCCGGAGCGAGCCATCTGCGGGCACTGTGCAAAGCGGGCGACGGCGCGAGCGGCGCTGGGCTCACACTAGCTCGTCCAGGACGCAGGTCCAACCCCCCCGTTCCTTTCCCAGATACAGCTGATCCAGTTCCCCGAGTGGCCGAGCGTGGAGCGGACTTGGGTGGAGGAAGGCACGGAAAAGTATACTGGAGAAAAAGTGCGGTTTTAGGGGGTGGGGTGGTATAGGAGGAGGGAGTGGGGTAGCTCAAATCGTTCCACCTTTTAAATGATCATAGATAGTATCAAGAATACATGTCACCCTTGTTTCCTTTTAGAGGCGAGGTGGGCAATAAAATACAGGTAGGTTTGGGATTAAAATAATGGGTGCCAGAGGTTTCACTTGGGCTCCGCTGCATCTGGTAGCAGACCAGTATTGGCGGAGTTCCAGTTAATCTTCCGTCAAAATTATTAGGAAGAAGAGTATTTGCCCTTGGTTATTTGGATTGTAGGTACAAGCAGCCTTTTTTTTGGGGGGGGGTGGGGAAATGTTGCAAACGTTACCTGGCAATTACCCCTCACTAACTCACCCACCCCAGAATGACCAAAGAGAGAGGTTTCATATAGGAGTACACAATTTTGACGCCTGGGTAACAAACTTTAAAGTTTATTAGGCAAGAAATTTCAAATGCTTAAATTTCAGGTTTCAACGTAAAGCTATAGAAAATTCACTTTGGTTTGCCATTTCTTGGATGAAAAATAACCAGCAAGATTTCTTTAGCTAATGTGGCTCTTAAAGAGCTCCTTGGGGGTTTGCAAGTTACAAATGCTAAAGGGCATTTCTAGCCGTAGCCAGAACATGTCTTTCACCGGGCACGGTAAACGGCTTTTAATAAAGCAACCGCGTTTATGACCTAAAGATCCTATAAAAGCCAGGACTTACAAGGGCTGCGAAGCAGAAACATTCATACCTAGTCGATTAGACACTCAGTTTTTAGGTAGGATGGGGACAAGTATTTTTCGTATGTTCCTCGAATTCAGGCAGATCAAAGGTTGAATGATGTTGGTTGGGACAACAGAGTGTTTATGAGGTGTGTTACAAGTACACTGGCCAACAACTACCACCATCTTCTGCAACACACACACACACACACACACACGCACACAACATACACCTTTCCCTGGGACATTTACAATTTCAGCCTCAAATTCATCAAACTGTGAAGAAGTCTTTTCTTTGAATAAGAATAGAGATGATAACATGCCTGAGACTATACCCTGTAGGAAACTTTTGGCACAGGATTCAAACATTGAAAAGAAGAAGAAAAAATCAAGCTGGCGAGGGTGGGTGTCAGGGATAAGAAAAGAGACTTGCTTGAGCATCCCCAGCCTTCATTCCTCCCTTTCCGCTGCCCCCAGACACTCCCTCCACACCGTTACAGAAACCACACAGAGCACACAAACACACCGCTCACACTTCCAATGATAGGCTATTGTATCAAGTGTTATAATCGGGATGTAACAATTTAGGCTGGGAACAGAAATAATCTATCAACATGACCATTAGATGCAGGAATAATGCTTCTATTGGTTGAGTCCTTTCGAGGTAAGCGGGTGTATTGAGCGCGGAAATGTGGGTTCTGTGAATGGATCAAGGCTACTTCCTTTCTTCTTTTCCGTCCTATTATTTTCTTTAAGTATCCCAGTTTGTACCTATGTTAGCGCCAGCCCACAAATAAACTGGTGGGAGTAAAGGATATATGCCCTCCACACCTTAAAACCATCTGCTCAGTTTGACATTTAAAAGGAAGGAGGGCAGGGAAGGAGGAGGGGGAGAAAGGGGAAGAAAGGGAGCCGAGAGAGAGAAAAGATTCAGAATCTGGAAGGAAATGGCTTGAACTTTAGCCCACAAGTTATGTCAATTGCACCTAGCGCTCGGATGCACGTTTTGCACACTACGCCCGGGAACTGGCCGCAGGAAAAGTTCCCTGCGAACCCCAGTAAGCCCTCTGTCACTCCCGGGGGAAGGCAGGCCTGAATGGAAGTCGGGGTAACCCGCTTGGCAGGCAAGGAAGCGCCCCCACCCCCCAGCCAACGCCGCGGAGGCTCGCGGCTCGCCACGCTCTGCCGCGGCAGTTCGCAGCCCGCATTAGGGCGCAAGAGCGGCTGGTTGAAATAGGAGCGCGCGCAACGCTGGGCAAGCGAGCTCGGTCCGTAGCCCAGCTCCGTGAGCTACGTACGCGGAGCCCTGTCCTGTCCCTTACTGTCAGGGCGACGTAGAGGCCGGGCTCCTGGCAACCTCTCTTGGCCAAGCTGCGGCGCTCTCCCAGGTCTTGGGCCGTCCTAGAGCAAGGCGTGAGGCCCGAGCCCCCTATCTCCGGCGACTCCCGGTTTGTTTTCTGATAGGGGAGAAGCGATCAGTCAGGTCGGAGCCGAGAAGTCGCCTAGATACTGGCTCCATCTCTGAAACCAGCGGCCAAGCCTAGGGTCAACCCCTTCCTCCGCCCATTGGCAACACAACCCCAATAACTTAAAAGTTAACACAAGTTCTGACCGGTCTTCCAACAAACCTCAATCCATGCAGACTGCATTTACTTATTTATGGGAAGGGGGATCTGCTGTGAGTTCTTAGTCAAACTCTTGCAGTTATCACTTATGCATCTGGTTCTGGGTTAAACACACTTTGCCTTGACATTTCCTCGGTGTATTAGGGCCCTCCTCCACCGTTCTTTCTTAAAGCCTTCAGATGAAGGTAGGAGGGAAGATTGCATATAAGAAATTTAAAACCTTACAAAGAACCATCGTCAGATCCTAAACAAACCAATTCTGGGAATTTCAACCAGATCCAGCAGAGAGGCCAACGTGGGCGTGGATTTCGGGAGAGAGATACCGAAGATCCCTGCCTGGACACACAAACACACACAAAACCATCCACTCTCCACCACCACCACCCTGAAGAGAGGAAGAGAAAGAGAGAAAAACCAACTCCAGGGTGCAGGCCGGCCTGCTTCCGGCTGTCTAGAGGCAGGCTGACCGCCATTCTCTCATCCCCCACCCCCCATCCCCTGTGCCCAGTGTGACACCAGGCCCAACCTGGGTCTGTTCTGAACGGGGGGAAAAGTGAAATGCCACAAGATCAGTAGCAAGGAGCAGCTGCGGCGTTTCTCTCCTGGGAACGCCACTGCTTCGAAGCCTCCCGAGTGATGTTTGTTTAACCAACAGCTTTCAAAGTAAACAGAGGCCAAGCGCTCCAAAGAAGTTGAAATATAACCCTTACAAGAATTTGGGGCCCGAGTGCCGGCGGAAAAAGTAATTTTTTTTTTTAAGTAATAAAGCTTCCATCCCAAATAAGGGTCCACCGCAATGCCTAAAGGAAACTAGAACTGCCATAAAAATACAAATTCATCGAAAGGATTCATTACAATAAAGTGACCTCCAAGAAAATCACCCTGCGTCCACAAAAACACACCTGCGGGGTTGGTTGGCAGCGAGGGAAGGGGCACACTACTAACTTGATTTTAGGGAAGTGGGCGAAAACAATCGAAGGGAGGTACATTCCCTGCCCCGGAGTAGAAAAGAGTAGGCTGGGAGCTTTGCGCCGCCAACCCTGGCTTTGCCTCAGGCACCGAACTTTCCAATATCAAGATATTAACAGATGGTGGTGAGCACATGGAGGGCTGTTACTTACATAATCCAGCCACTCCGCCCGGCCGCGCTGAGCCGGGCAAGGCGTCCGCCAGGCCGCGCGCGCGCCTCCCGAGAGGTGCTGTTGGCCCCCCTCCCCCGAAATAACGTGCCTTTCTCCAACCCCGCCCGGCTCTTTAGGGGCTAGGATTTGGAGAGGTCGTGCTTTCAGAGAAATCTTCGCATTGATCGGCTTGTGCTTTACCGTCTTCAGTCCACAGCAGTAAAGAAGCTGGAGACCCAAGGGCAGAGGGAAGCGGAGGGAACGCTTTCGGGGAGAACCCGACGCTCTCCCTCGGGATCTGGGGGGGGGGGTACCAGGGAGTGGAATGTTCGCAATTTACATCCCTCCTTCTTTGGCTCAGATTAGCAGGTCTTTCCCAGTTCCTGAAATACAAAGGCAGGCTCGGGGCCGCAGCAGAGGGGGAGCGGGGTGGGGTGAGGGTGTGAATGCGAGGGGACGCCTCTGCACGCGGGGGCGCAGTGGGCAAAGTTACGCAAAGCCTCGGGGCACCGTTACTCTCCCGAGCTTCTGTAGGGTTTCAAGCACTGCTTCTCGCACGCGGGGAGTCCCTTTCGGCTGTGCGGCCGCCTGCTGCCTTCGCGGCCCCAGCCACCTCCCTCGCGGTCCCTCCCGGTGTGCCTTGTGTACCTCCGCCCGCGTGTCGGGGGACGCGTGTGTTTGCCGAGCCTCTCCCTGACGGCGACTCCGGCCGCCGAAACCCGTGAGGAATACGCCTGCGTGGGTTGGAAAAGTTTCGGGTTGGGAGGGAAGGCTGGGAGTCGCCTCTCCTGGCACCCGGCAGGAGCGGGGCTGCCTGGCCGGCGGCTTCCTCCCGGTCTCCTCCTCCCTCCCGGCCCTTCCTTCCTCGCCGCGGCCCCGCGCTAGGTGTCGCGGCCTCTCGGCCCGGAGACCGCGAGCGCGAGATGCTGCGGCGGGGGCCCGGCGCTCCGAGCACAGGGCACGCCCCTCCGGCCCGCGCGGGCCCCCGGGGGGTCCCGGTCCCCCCGCCGGGGCCCCGAGGCCCTCGCCTCCTCCGGGGCCGCCGCCGGGGCCGGAGCCCTGCTCGGCTGGCCCGCGCTGGGCGCACGCCGGGCGCAGAGGGCAGCCACCTGCTCCCCGCGCTGCGCGGGGCAGGGGCCATCCGAGCCGCCCGGCCCGAGGGGCCCCGAGGCCCAACCTCCCTCCCCGCCCGCCGCCCGCGGTCCGCCTGTTGCTGCGGGGACCGTTCCGGCGGCGGCGCGCCCGCACCCGGGGACGCGCTCCACCTGGGCCAGGGGGGCCTCCCGGAGGACCCAAGGAGGGGCGGGGGCGTTTGAAGGGGGTGGAAACCTCCCCTCCTGCCCACCCCCTTTCTTTTGTCAACTAATCTAAGGACATTTGGCCGTTACTCCAGCTTCTCCTTTCTTTGGTCTTTCGACTCCAGCCAGGGTGTGAATTCCCAGGAGGTGCTCGATTTTTGGAGGGTTTTGGTGATTGGGAGTGATAGGACTTAAGTTACCCTTCCTGTCCATCTTATTAGGCTTTTATTCAGGAGCGGGCTAGAGATAAATAGGTGTAGGCCGGGCACCGAGGAAAAAAGAAGGAAGCTCCCAGTTTGGATTTATGGGGGTGGGGGGTGGGGAAGAGAGAGTAACTCTGGAAAGTTGCATTTTGTTTAAATTAGAGCAAGACAAAGTTGAAAGCCAGATTTCTATAATTTTTCTAGTGATATTTCTTTTATGAAGTATCTAAGTGTCTGTTTGTCATCATTTTGAGATCAAAAGGAAAATCCATATGCTGCAGAGTTTTTCGAAATTGCTATTTAAATATGTTTTAAAGGTTTTATCCAACGTGGAGAAGGCTGCTCAGAGGCAAGGCTGGTGACAGGGATAGCGGGATGGTTTGATGTGGAGCAGTGGTTTCTAAGAGTGGCAAGTAATCAAGAATCACCAAGGGAGCTTTTCAAAAACAAAGATTTCTGGGCCCATCCCAGCTAGGCAATCAGTGGGAGGACCTGGGCATCTGGGGGTCATGCTGTGTTTCCAATTACTGCTCAGTTACTGACTCTGTGACCTTAGGTGTGTTACTTAATCTATCTGAGCCTCAGTTCTTTTCATCTGTTAAGTGGGGATAATATCCAACTTACAGAGTTGTAGAGAGTAAAATTTGTTCAGCACATGATTGGTGTTCAGTGAACCTATTTTGTCTACAAGTGTGTGCTCTGCACACTCACACTGATCTGTACTCCTTTTATACAGAACTCCTGCCCGCAAATATTTTGATGACGCTAACTGGATGGTCATTTGATATGTACACGTGTACATTTTAGCATATGCATAGCAGCTACTTTGGGCCCTTTATATGCACACCTTTCACTTTTTAGGGAATAAACAGTAGAATTAGTGCATGTTTGGAAGCTAGGCTCTATGCTCTTGGACCTAGACCTGTCCATCCTGGCAGACAGGAATCATTTACTGATCTGAAGTCTGCTTTTTTCCTTTCTTTCTTTTTTTGGTCCTCTCACCTTCCATGCTTTATGGATGGCAGACCTTTCCTACAGAAGCTGCCCATCAGACCAATGAAACCACGAGACAAAAAGTTCTATTCAAGAAGAGAACAACAAGAAAGAAAAAGAGGTCAACAATCCTAGGTAAAACTAAGGCAAATGTGTATCATCTATGGTATGTTTTTACATGTCTGAATGAACAACTCCCCCAAATCTCTGTAAAGTAAACTACAACTCTTCCTGAGATTCTTTTCAAACCAATGGCCACAAGCACACCCCAACATCATTAAAAGGGGGCCCAGGCAAAGAGAGCTTCGAGAAGGCAAAGAAAGGCAGGAAGGAAGGTCCATCCCCAGCTGTGAGTCTGCAGTGGTGTGAGGGGAAGAAAGCCAGAGAAAGGGAATGGGCTGAATGAATAGAGAAACATCAAGAAGGCTGACAGTTTTAGAACTGGAGATGGCCGTGAGTAGTTAATTATACATCCCCAAAAAGGTATTTGCTGGTACCTTCCAAAAGCTTGAGATAAGTAATCAGGTGTTTCCTGGGCCAGGATAAGGGACAGATGGCCAGCTTGGGGCATCTGTGGGCCCAGTCCCTACCAGTCCCTAGTGAATGAACGCAGGGGTTGGGAGGAGGCGGCACTCCCTGGATGACAGGGAGCTCAAGCATCACCCCTAGATGCCTACGTTCCTAGGGTTTGTGGATATCTTTGGGCAAGTGTGGAAGATTCCTGCTCTCTGGACCTGGGGGAAGTGGCTATGACTCTAGGGGACAAAACAAAGAATCTCAAGACAACCACAGAGAAACACACATTTGCGGCCAAGCTGCAGGGAGACAGGTGACACTGACTTCTCACTCCCAGGGTAGGAGGAGCACTTTGGCCTATACTTGAGATCCTGGTGGGGCGATTGGGGGGGTGGGGGGCAGGGGGCAGAAGCGGGGTGGAGGGCAGTGTTTGGAGGGGCCAGGGATGGGTAGGGGAGAGTGTCTGTTGGTGAGTGTGGGAGGGGAGTGGGTGGGGGTAAGGAGAGAGTGTAGGTGTATGCCTTGCAGAGTGCAAGTTGGAGAGGTCCTGGGGTTCGAGGGAGCGGAGTTAGGGGGAGAGTGCAGTGGGGGGGTGCCTGTGACTGGAAGGAGGCAAGGAGCACCAGTTCCCGGTGAGGCGGCTCACTGGGGCTGACTGGTGCATGGAAGTGTGTCTGGAGGGCCGAAGGGGAGGCAGCAGAAAAGGTCTGGAGGCTACATATGACCTTTGCTCAAGCCAGGATGAAGGGTACAGGGTCTTGACTTCCTCAGGCCCTCACTAGCCCGCTGAGACTTAGGAAGCCATGGGCTCCCACGCTTCTCCAGGCTTGACAGGAAGGCCTGGGAGCCTGCTGGGAGGCACCCCGGGGTCTCCCCCTGAGACTGTGGGGGCTGGCAGGTGCACAGTGGAGGCACCCTGCTCCCTGCTTCCCTCTCCCTCTGCAGGCACAGCCCTTGGCCCCCAGCAGGACCTCCCCTCCTGTGCCTCCATCCCTACTTGAGGCCCAGTGTTGCTCTCCTCGCCGCTGGTTCCCCTGGGCCTTCTCCTTTTCCCTCACAGGTAAAGGACCCTCACCCCTTCATCACCTCCATGCTAAGCTGGTGGTAGCACCTGCGGGGAGCAGGCAGAGGGCAGGAGGGGGTTCATAACCCAAAGTGGACTCCAAGGAAATGGAACAACACCCTTCAACAGATAACTGATGCTCGTGACACATGGCTAAGAATGGCAGTTGGTGACCCTGTTGAGGGAGCAGAGTGAACTAGAGGGTTTGGGGTCTTAGTCAACACGGGTGGATAGTTCTGTGTTTGAGTTAGTTGGGTTTGTGAGACTTCAATTAGAAGCACAAGCCTAGAAGAATCTGGACGAAGGGCAAAAGTGTCCACACCTCCTCCTCTCAATATCCCGGTGGTCTTTCAGTGAGAATTCAGAAGGAGGCAAACAGATGTAGTAATAAGCCATGATAGATAATTCAGCATTTATTGAGCACTTCCAATGTTATAACTATGCCAGATGCTTTACACCCAGTGCTGCCAGTTTTTAATTCTAAAATTCCATGGATGATAAGACACACTATCAATTTAAAGATGGCCTTTGAGAGAAAAATAAAACATGACATCCTTAAATGTCCAATGGATTGTAAGACACACTGATTTCAGGAACATAATATAGTAGGAGAAAAAAGTGAAACTTAGAAGGGAAGAAATAAAATATATTAAGTGTCGTTCTCTCAGTAGCCCTGATAAGAATTATCCCCACTGTATGGATGAATAGACTGAGGCTGGGGAAGTTTTCACCACTTGCTCATGGCCACAAAGCCAGTAATTTGCAGTCTGAATTGGCACCCATGTTTGCATGCGGTCAGAGCTAGAAGGGTTTCTCCTAGGGCATATAACCTCTGCAAGACTGGGCTTTGCGGGCTTTTTCCTAGCCCCGGTTCTGTCTCGACCCTTTTACCATCAACACCCCTCCCCCACCCTCTAAGCTATGGAGATTTCCATGAGGAGCAAGTAATTCATTGGTGGAGAAAAGGTACAAAATAGTCAAATTACATTCTTCAGATTCAAATAGAGTCTTTAAAAGGGTAAAAACCATGCGTGCCAGGTTTTGCTGTGCACTGCAGGAAGTCCATGAATTCAAGGATCCCTGTATTGCTGAAAATAGAATTGTAAAAAATAAAAGGGGTGGGGGGAAAAAGTGAACGAAACTAATCCTATTAAACGTGGTAGCATGTTTTTGTGGCACGCAGGGAGAGATTAAGCACAGGAAAGGGGATAAGTACTGCTTCAGTTTCACTAAACTAATGTGACAACTTGTCATTGGAAATCTTTGCAGCTTGTTAGTAGATGACTAGCTGATTCAGAAGTGTTTTCTATCATTCCCTTTGTGTCTCCCGTGAGGGTTCTTTTTTTTTTTTATTTTCTTTCTTTTCCTGTTTCTTTCTTACTCATGCTGCTCTATTTTGCTTTTTAATCCTTCGTGTCTCCTTCAAGTCAAAACATTTAGCTGGCTCTAATCAAGATTTGGTTTTGAAGATGCACTTTGACCTTGAGTGGCCCAGAGAAGCCCCGGAGGGTACTGCCCTCCATCCCCAACCCGGGTTGGTCCATCCTGTGGCTAGAAGACCCAAGCTTCTGGGGAAACACTCTCATTTCAGATTTTATTTTTCAACTGTCCTTCCCCTCTTCCCTTGCACCTTTATTTCTTTCTTGTTTTAACTTCGTATCCTCTCCCGTTTGCCTTTCATTTCCAGGCTTCCGATTTTTTTTTCTCACTTTCCCTTTCTCTGCTGTTTTCTAACTTCCTTCCCCTCACCTGCTCGCTTTCCATCTTCTCCTTCATCTCTTTCTTAGAATTTCTTTTCCCTCTTCAAGGCCCCCAGTAAAGCTCTTTTTCGAGAGATGGAATCCAACAGATGAGACTGTAGGATTCATAGAGAAAAGTTATGAATCCCTCACATGGGTTTTCACATTGAAGTAACTCTTGCTGGGGGGAGGGGGCAGTGTCATAGGGAGGGGGTGTCAAAAGGCTGATCTCAATCAAGAGGAAGCAAGAATTTTAGGCTCCGTCACTGTCTCTCCAAAGCAGGTGTCTAGCGTGTTTGGAAATGTGGCTGACCGTCCCTCTCTCTCTTGCTTTGGCATGGCTTTCTCTCCCACCTTCCTCCTACCCCCCCCCCTCCAACTTTCCCCACTGGCTTACCACCAGAGGCGAGATGTTGAGTCAATGGAAAAACAACATTCGCCAACATTAAAGGGAGACTGTTTGGAAAAGGAAGGCCCCGCTGAGGTGCAGAGGAAGCCTGTACATTAACACGGGCCACCTCTTATCTGGGGCAGCTGGGCCTGAGCCGCCTGTGCTGATTCCCTGGCTTTGCCAAGAGGCCTTCAGCAGAGAGGACAGGCCGCCTTGCAGGGTGGGGGGCTGATCCTCATCCAGGAGCAGAGCATCACCAGCATTTTCAGAGACAAAAAAGCCTTGCTTTTCTCCCAGGGGCTTCATGGGGAAACCTGCACCAGTAAGCAAAGTCTTGCAAAAGGCAGCAGTTCTCAGGGCCTTTGTCCCTGGACTTAAAACCAGGATCTCTCGTTTCCAGTCCTTTCGAAGACGCCCAAGCACTGTAAGGACTGGCCATTCTGACCTGAGTATGATTTATGGGGAAAAACAAGCTAAAGTGACCCAAAGGAGAATTAAAAAAAAAAAAAAAAAGAAGAAGAAGGAAACAGAAAACAACAAACACACAAAAACACGTGGGTAAGTTCGCGCTGGCTCTAAATTGCTCACCGTTAAGTCTTGAGCCAGCTCCTGATGGAAAGATAAGGTAAATCCTTAATCAGTCAATAATTAACCGAAGCTCCATTAATGGTCCAGTCAACCAAATCCTGCTGACACCTTCAGAACCCTGCTTTAGTGGGAGGGTTAGGCGGAACCTTTTGATAGACCCCTCTCTTGGATCACCATTAAGAGGGGTAGATTTGTGTCTGGACCTGCCAGAGAAATCTTTTCTTAGGCTCACTCTTTTGGATAATTTCTGCAGATTTCACTTTTAGAAATCTCAGCGTGTGTGTCTGTGTTGTGTATAAAACAGTTTGGAGATCTATTCTGGTTTCAGGTCAGTTTGAATCAAATCCCAGATGTGTTCTGCTCCTTACTACGTCAGTTTTCCTAGAGGACCATAGGTTTTCTTTCCTGCTTTGCTCATCATAGTAGTTTGCTCATTTTTGAAGTTTATTCCCAGTGTCTGTAGATATTCCTATTCTTACTTTCTCAATGTCAACGTCTCTTCCATTTGTGATAAAAGCAGAAATGCCTCCGAAGTGATAAGCAACCACATAGCCCTACCAAAGCACGAAAATAATTTTCGAGTTTTAAATAAGTAGAAGACTAAAAGACTAATAAATATTGATTTTGGTCTTTCTCGTAGATCAAGTTCTTTTTACTTCCAACAGAAGCAAATTTTTTTAGGAAGAGGGGTTAGGTCTTCAATGGTTTTTAATTTCATTTTTTCATTTTTGCTTTGCTTTGTTCTGTATAGCATCTAGTGTGTTATGATATGCTTGTAGTTATACTAGTGGATGAGAAAAATCAGCATATTAAGTGTGGTTTGGATTTTTCCTAAGGT